ATTGTATTTAAACTATTCAGTAAATTTATATATAAATACTAAAAATGCAATACAAAAACAATTTATTGATAAGCCAAAATAAATAAAATAATTGACATTTTGGATGCGTGTTTTCATATATTAACACAACAAAGATAATAACACAATTATATATTTGAATAAATTAAGTACAAATATAAACAATTGTCAATACAAATTCGAATGTTGAATTGGATTTCCAGTTGAATTATGACTGTTAATGAATTCTTTTTTAATATTTATTGCGATTTTCGTGTTGTTTGTTTGACTTTATGTTGAAACAAAGAAAAAAATCAAATATAAACGATTGTTATTAATTCCATTGTGTAACTATATCAATTTCCACTATTTTCATTCAATAGATTTTATTGATAAATAAATATAAGCGAGATATTATAAACAATTATCTTTTTGAATTTATCGTTTTTATATTAAAACCACAACAAACACGCGTGTATATATATAAACAAAAATACAACAGCTATGATAAATTTAAATTGAAGCACCTATTTAAATACCAATTTTCAATTATTTAACAACAACATTTTGTTTATTATGTTTTACTCTATATTTCTACACCTTTGTTTTAAAAAAACAGTCTAAAAAATAATAAGTGGTAACTTTTCAATGTGTAAACATGAAACATCGAACTAATAATTATAAAATAACACCAAATTAAGAATATCACAGTTTACACCAATTTTGAGTTACAATTTGTTGCTCACATAAACTTGTATAGATATATATATATTTAAACCATTTCCCCGTAGTCTAGGGGTAAATTATTCATTAAAAACAAGCTTTTTATGGGTTATGTTTCTTAACTTGTTTTAATAATGATTATGAATGTAACAACTACAAGCTGAAAACGTATCTGGTTAATGCATCAAAAATAATCTAAAAAACTCGAAATAATAAGGCATTTTTAGATGTGGTGGACATTTTTTTAATCATATTAAACAGCCTTATGATTAACATTTGACATTTTTTATAAACATTTCAAATAGTTTGAATTTGTTTATTTGAACAAGTATTTTTTGATCATTTATAAATACATACATATAGTATAGTTTCTTTGTTGGTGATGTCAAAAATAATAAGATTTTTAAATGTTTTTACTGTTGTTTTTATTGATTGTTATTATTTTATTTGAACTGAGAGCGTCGTTTTGAATACATTATGATTGACTATTTATAATACATTTTAGTTTGGCCGTATTTCCAATTAAAATCATTAACATTTCAAAAAAACATTGTCTGTTTAATTGATTTTTTTTTTCTTTACCTTTTAATTTATTAATTAATAATCAGAAAATAATTAATTGAATAAAATATCAACAAACTTGTTTTAATAATCAAAACTTAAAACTTAAATAGACTTATATTGCTTCGAAACGAGTAAAAGTCAAGACTCAATCTTTTTAATTGTTTTTAAGTGTAAACTAAAACTATTTAATACACGAAACTAAAGTATGGCAAGACTCGATGGATATCACATGATGATTGTATCATAATATTTCACTTTGTTTGAAGACTTTGTTAAACTCGAAATGTTAAACAAAAAGTTTTTCAAAAACACCGAAAAGTTCCACTCGAACCCAATTCCATTGACAAATATTAATTTAAAATATTTCCCAAACGTTGAAACTTTTAATATTTTATATGAGACAGACGACGACTTTTGATATGAAGTATTGACTTCCTACACGACATATCCTTCAAATGTCAGAAAATTGTTTTTTAAAGTGAAATGTTGGTACGAAGTTTCTTTATAGAAGTACGTCGAGTC